CTTGACAACTGACAATAATTGTCATTTATTTGGTGGTATAAAATAAATTTTTTTTTTTTAAAAAAAAAAAAAAGGATGATAGAGAAACAAAGGAAACAAAAATTGTGGTCTTGAAACTAGGTCAATGTACATAATAATCAATGGGTGTTTCATTACATATATACAATGATTTCAAGCAAAGTTGTACTGAAGAACTAATAAATCATTGCTTTATAAATACTTATGTATATCATATACATGTATGTATATCTATACATATAAACTCAAATTCAAAGTCAGTGGCCACTGGGTGGAGATGGTGCCAGTGGGGACTTCAAGTGGTGGTGAGAGATGTAAGGGGAGAGAGAACCAGAGGTTGGAGGAGAAGTTTTGCCAGAGTGAAGAGGAGAGCAAGAGATGGGAAGGGGGTGATTGATTATATGTACAGTGTTTGGTCATAGTTATAAGGGAAAGTAATTTTTTTTAAAATAGTGTAATAAGATTTGATTTTTTTAAAGGGCGGTAAAAAGTAGTAATTGTACATTCAATGTTAATTTAGTTAGTTGACAGCTTTGATGAGGGAGAGCAGAGCATCTTCAAAAACCACAAGGGATGCTCCTATATTTGTCAAAAATCTCAGGAGAGGTCCATGGAATTAACCCTTTTGCATCATTATATCATCGAGGTTATTTTGTTCAAATTCATAATGTGTTTCATGTGTATTGAGACAATGGACATGTGTCCTCCAAGTATTCAAAGCGTGTCCAAGTCCAAAAGAATTAAATATATATATTTAATAAAATGTGTTCGACACGCCTTGGTTATTGTCCAACACTTAAATTGACATGTAATCTTCTTAGAAATATCCATGCTTCTAGCCTAAAATGGAAGGAATGCAAGTTTCATGAAACAACCCAGACATATAAAAAGGCAAACCTTAAATGGAAGGAACACAAGCTCCATGATGCAAAACCCATAACGAAATCAAGCACCACACTAACAAGCTTGTGATAATCAAAAACAAACAAACATGTAGAGAGGTAACCCAAATTGGAAGGAACACACACTCCATGAAACAACCATCCAAGTGCAATGAGGCGATAAGGTGTCCTATAGCCTAAGCGTGAGGTGCGAGGCGAGGTGTGCGAGGCCAGGTGTGCACCTCCCCAAAGCAAGGTGCAAGTTGTAGTAGATAAACAAAATTTTAAAAGAAGCAAAGTTATCAGCATAAACAAATATATATATAGTTCCAAAAATCATAAAGTAAGTTTCACCGTTTCAAATAATCTTTAAACATAACATTCAATCTTCTAAAAACTAGAAATATAATATCTAATAAAAAATATAAAGTATCACATTCACATTCAACAAAAACCTCAAGTTTTATGATCATCCATATAAAGTTCAAAACTACTGAGAGAGAACACAGCTCAAGAAAGAAAAAAAAAGAGGACCTAACAAAGAAGAAGAAGAAGAAGAAGAGAAGAAGAAAGGATGAAAAGAAGAGAACCTCACAGAGAAGAACCCAAAGAAGAAGCTAACGTCTTTCCACTTTCTGATCGATTTTTTTAATCGTTCTCCACCTAAGGTTCTTTTTTTAACCAGAAGGAGAAGACCTAACCTGTTGAGTCGAATGATCCTCTAGTCACGATCTCCATCTCCATTGTTGTTCCAGTCGTGACCTCCATCTCCTATTCCAATCTTAATCTCCATCGAGGCTCCTATTCCAATCGATCTCCATCTCATCTCAATCTGGTAGGTCTCTGTCTCGTCTCTCTCTCTTCTCTCTAGTCTGTATCGCCCCCCCTCTCTCTCTCTCTCTCCTTTTGCCTCTCCGTCTTCTTTCTCGTTTTATTTATATTTTTTTATTTTCTGATTAGATATTTAGATATTTCTTTATATTTTCGTTTCGGTTCCGATAGTTAGCTCGAATTTGGCTCGAATTTGGAGAAGAAGAAGAAGAAGAAGAAAAGAAGAAAAAGAAGGAAGAAGAAGAAGAAGAGAAGGAGGAAGGAGGAAGAGGAGGAGGAGGAAGAAGGAGGACTGGAGGGGGCATAATCACAGGGGGAGGAGGAGGCGAAGGCGGAGGCGGGGCCGGAGGCGACGGCGGTGGTGCTGCGACGATCTCCTCTCCTCCTCTCTCTTTCTCCCTCTCTCTCCTCCTCTTTCTCTTCTCCTCTCTTCTTCCTCTGCTCTTCTCCTGTGTTCAACGAAGAAGAAGAAGAAGAAGAAGAAGAAGAAAAGAAAGAGAGAAAAGGAAGAGAAAGAAAAGGCAGGAAAAAGAAAAAAAAAAATTCGAAACCCAAAACGACGTCGTTTTGGGTTTCGAGCCGAATTCGGGCCACCAAATTCGAGCTACGAGTCATTTTCCTTTTAGTTTAATTTTTATATTATATGATTTATATATTGTGTAAATGTATTTTTATTATATATTTAATTTTTTCATTATATAATTTATAGAAAATATGTTTATAATGTTTAAATGTAGTGATTTTTATCATGCTTGTTAAAATCATGATCCGGATCGTAGGATCGTACGATCCTACGATCCTACTTTGCCAAAACGATCCAGATCGTTGTAGGATCGATGTTATAACAGGATCGCAAGTAGGATCGTGTAGGATCGCATGGGATCGTATAGGATCGTATGGGATCGTATAGGATCGTAGGTAGGATCGTAGGTTTTATAATTTTTCACTTTATTTTTAATATGTACCATTTTAATTTTAATTTTTATCTTTTTTTTTAATAGAAAGTAGGATCATACGATTCTCGATCCGATCCTACGATCCGATCCATCAGACCCTCTCACCGATCCTACTTAGGATCCCGATTTTAACAACCTTAATTTTTATATACACATTAAATTAATGTTGGTTTTTTTTAATTAATTTTGATTGTTTGGTAACATAATATTAATTTTGATTGTTTTTATATAATTTTAATTAATCTAAATAGCAACTACGTAGCATATATATATATATATATAATTGCTATGTCCCCTGTCATGTCCGTGTATCTATTTTTTTAAAATCGTTGTGTTTCGTGTCAGTGTCCGTATCCGTGCTTCATGAAGGTCACATATCTAAACTATTATAAAATTGAGATTGTAATCATATCTTGCATAACATTAGGTTATAATTATTAGGATAAATACAAAATAAGTTTTCAATACTTTACTTAATTCTTAAAGAAGAATAAAATAGAGATTAAAGTAATACCATACTTCTTCAAAATTTAACAAATTGATACATCCGTAATGTCTTAAATGTGTCCTATTATTGTATCCAATCTTTATAGGAAGTAAAAAAAATAAGAATAATATAACAATACTAAAATTGAATTTTAAAAAGTAAACTTGCATGTGATACTTTTAAGTGAGAAAGGAAAAAGCATAAGAGAAATATAAGCAATTTAGACTTGATATTGAAATGAAATTTTTATAAGACAAACTTAAAAATCAAAAAGGCAAATTTCACTTTACCAAGTTGTGGTTAGGCAAATAACCACATAAACCCTTGTGGTTTGTAAATCAAAGTGCACCCTCAACTTTTCCATCAAAGTTAACAAGATGTGAGGCTCACACGCCTATGAGAAGAGTAGACATTTCATAAGACAAAAATACCCCTTGTACATTTTCAAATTTACCAAAACAAAAAATGCATTCCTCTTCATCTTGCCTCTACTATTCTAGTCTCTTTCTTCATACTTTCTTTCCCTCTTACTCTTACTTTGTCACACCCACTTCCCCACCCAAACTCACTTCAACAAATTTCCCCTTCCTTCTCTACACCCACTTTTCCATCCCAACCCACTACCCCACTTACCCATCCCCTTCCTTTTACCCTGGCACACCCACTTCTCCACCCCAACCCACTACCCCACACCAACTTCCCCATCCTCTTCCTTTTACCCTGGCACACCCCTTCTCCACCCCAATCCATCGTATATATATACATCTTTCTTTGCACTCATTTTGGCTTAGTCCTTCGATCATAAACACAATTTTGGGTTTTGATTTTCGTTTCACAGTAGTTTTTTATTTTTATATCATATCTCTCTCTTAATTTAAATGTATTCATTCAATTTTCAAATTCTTTTGACACACAATAATACACCGTAGTAATCTACAATGTATTGTTATTTATTAATTTCTTTTTCTATTTTTTTTTTTAAATTTGAATTTGATTTCACTTCAAAATTGGGGCCTTTTTTAGTAATAAAATCTTTACCAACTAACAAAAAAATAACTTGTGCAAAAATGAATTGCGTCACTGCATATAAAATGAATTCTACTAAAAAGCTTCATTTTTCAATCATTGATGCCCCATGCAGATTCCTTGTGTGACAGTTGGCATCCCCACTATTGTAATGTAAGATGTTTAGTTGCTTCGTTAGTCATTTGTATTTTCCCATTGATTTGGACAGTTGGTTGGTGCCTAGTGCATCCTATCTCAATCTTCTCCTCAAACTTATAGTTCACTACTTTAGGAGACCACTATGAAAAGGAAATAATATATTCTTAGATTTGTTTTGGCAAAAACTTCGAAGCTTGGGTAATCCAATCATTTTACTATTTTCCTGTATGTTTTCGGTGTTAGAGGAGTATTTTTTTTTTTTTTTTTTTATGTATAGCAATTTTATATACACTTGGTCCTATATTATATATCAATTTCCATAATCTTAAAGACACCCCAAACAGATACAAAGTAGTGACCCAATTTAACATTGTGCACAATGGTTGCTTTAGACAAAGGACTCCAGGCATTATTGGTTCACCTTACTCGAATGAGCAAATGAAGAGCAAGAACCCGATGATAATGCCATGAAATCAGGTACCAACACTAGTATTTTATTAAGGCGACCAATTCTACACATAACAAAACCGAAACATTCTTTTTATGTTTATTGGGTAGCTAATAAAAGGCATATTAACAATGCCTTGAAATCAGGCTTTAGCATCTTAAATTTCAATTAAAGTTACTTACACACATTGGAATAAGCTCATTGAAAATACATACCTGAAGCATCCGCCATGGAGAGCCTCGCCACGGCCCGTTATCTGGGACCGTGGCGGATGAAACTGTCCCCTGAAACCATGTCATCCTCGATGAATCTTCGGTCTCCATCCCCATCTTAACCCTCACCCCTGCTGTCCAGAACACACTGAGTGACTCCTCCACTGTCTCTGCCTTCACCACAAAGTCAGCCCAACCGACCCTCGGATAATACACAACCTCAAACCCCATCCCCTGTGCGGCCAATTCAGCAGCCTCAGAAACAGACTCAGCAGAAACCCTCCCCTTCCCATTCCTCGAAAACCCCTCTTTCCGATTTCCATCTTCCTCAGTTTTCACTCTCACTGAACCCACCGGAGAATTCCACCTTCCACCACAATCGGCATTGGACCGCACCGCCCTGCGAACCCCAATGAAAAACTCACCGCTCCTTCGGTTCCTCATAAACACCACGGAATCCCCAGCAATCAACTTCTTGTGATTCACAAACTTGCTCCAACCAGTAGTCAGCAAATGCCGACGAGGCGTGCCGCGGTAGATATGCCGGAACTCCCAGACCACGCCGTGCACGTCCGTAATCGACAGCGTCTGCACCGGCGGATCAGCCGCGAAGTTCAGCGGCGGAAATATCGAATCGGCACAGAACCTCGGCACCGAGAACCCTCCCCCATTGTTGGCATCCGACGGCGTCAGTATCTTGGCAAACGACACCACCGCGTCTTCATCAACATCAACATCAACATCGCCGCCGCGGCTGCTACAGTCTGGGTTTGGAGAGCGGAGGAGGGGGAGGAGGCGGATCTTGGCGAAGACCTCGTCGGTGTCGGAGTTGGCGAGGAAGAGAACGGCGGCGACGCGGCAGAGGATCAAGGGCTGAGAGGAGACGAGAGGAGAGAGAAACGGAGGGGAGGAGGCCTGCTCGGCATGGCCCTGGGGGAAGTAGTAAACCCTAGAATCGACGGTGGGGATTTGAACGGAGGTTCCAGCGCAGGCTTTCCAGACAGTGGGTTCCACTTGCCTGAGCTCAGTAGTGTTCGCCATTGCTAGGGATTTCTAGGGACTCTGAGAGAGCTCTATATATATATACACACACAGTTCTCAGTGTCTGATTGAGAGCTGAAGAGAGAGAGAGAGAGAGAGAGAGAGAGAGAGACGTGTAGGTGCAGGGGTCGGAGAACAGGCACGGAACTGGAAGCAAAAAAGGGAGGTGTGGAGATTAATATAAGTATGCCCTTCAATTCTCAGGAAATTACGATACTATCCGGGACACGACATTGTAACCGCATCGTTATGAAACCACTCACGCTCTGAAAAATGGAGCGTGGTATCCACTCGCGAAATTGAGGAAGGTAAAATCACTAATTTGCCGCCAGGTGATCATTATGGTGCGTACTTTGTTTACCGTAAATCATTATACGATTGAATGAAGTACATTTAATGGGTCAGACACCACGCACAAACGTAAGGCGCGTGTAGCACACTCTCGATGAACAGGGAGGGACAACTTGCTTCGTTTCGATTTTTTTAAAATTTATTTCTTTTATTTTTCATATTTTTTATTTTTAGTAAATTTTTTAGTATTTTAAAATTTTTAAGAAATATTTAATATAAATATAATTTAAAAAATATAATATTTGTAAAAAAAATCTTTAAAAAATTTACTAAATGCTAAAAATATAATATATATGAAAACTTAATATATTTTTGTGATTTGTATATTTATTGGTTTTTTAAAATGTTTTTTATAAATAATTTATTTTTTAGGTATATGTAGATTAGATGTATTTTAAAAAGTAAAAAAAAATTCTTAAAATATTAAAAAAACTACTAAAAAATATGAAAAACAAAAAATTTAATTTTCAAAAAACATTTTTCAGAGATGGAATGGAATTAAGCTCATCGCATTGTAGAAGTGTGAATTTTCGAATAAATTACACTTTCACTTTTGGCATGATGGTCGGGCTTAATTTAGCGCATTAAAAGATAAAAGAGTAAATTGTTGAAAAGTTCAACCTAAGAAGGGTACAATGTATTAGATTCAGTAGATATTTTTTATTGGTAAAATGTCCACTTTTTGTGAAATGGTTTGGTGAGAAGTCTTTTTTTTTTTAAGACATTTTATTTCCAATTTTACCCTTAATTTATCTAGTGATTTTTTTTTCTGTTGACTTTTTCATTGACTATCTGTTCAAATTTTTTATCTAGCTATTCAAATTTTTGTCTATTTATTCAAATTTTTATCTATTTGTTTAAATTTTTTTGCTTATCTATTCAAGATTTTCCCCTTATCTGTTCAAATTCTTTCTCTCTCTATCCGTTGAAATTTATTATCTGATATCTATTGAATTTTATTTGTTGAAATTTCCCTTATCTGTCGAATTTTAGTAGCTTTTTTTTTCCTATTTGTTTCATCATCATCATCATCTCCATCTTCATCAACAACAACAATAACAGATCTAAACTTACATTAAAAAAATATATCTGAGACAAAGAGAAAGAGCGAAAGAGAGAGATAGTGCAAATTTTTTATTTCTTTCTTTCTTCTATTTTTCTCCTCAACCAAGCAGAGGAGATGAACTAGATCTATGTGGATTTGTAGACTTTGTAGAGAGAGAAACACCCTAGAGAAAGCAGTGCTTCAATCGATCAATCGATTTGAGCAAACATATCTAAAATCCTAGCAACAGAAACAACAATCAAACACAAACAACAGAATGTATATAAGAGAAGAAGAGAGAGAGAAAGAGAGAGATGGGGCAAATTTTATTTTATTTTCCTTTCTTCTATTTTTCTCCGCAACCAAACAGAGGAGACGAACCAGAACTGTGTGGATCTATAGACTCTATAGAGTGAGAAACACCATAGAGAAAGTAGTGCTCCGATTGATCTAAGCAGACATATCTAATACCCCAGCAATAGAAACAACAATCAAACACAAACAATAGAATATATATAAGAGAGAGAGAGAGAAAGAGAGAGAGAGAGAAAGAAAGAAAGAGTTCTCCGAATTCCTTGAGATCGCTATAGTAGGTCTTGATAACTGACTTGGATCTAGTAGCGAATGTCTGGATTAGACCTTCAAATCTCCAATGCCATCGTTGATGTTAGAAAGGTGCTTGCGGAATCGATTGTCCTTAGGATCTGAAGACGACGGTGGCAGCAAAGTGACAAGAGAGAGAGAGATGAGTGTTGTTGTCACGACTTGAACCCCGCGCCCGTAAGGGTCGATGAGGTGACCGGCTAGTAATTCAAGATTACTAAAGGCCTTTCTGTACAAATCAAAATTATCGGGACTAGCGGAAGGGTAATACATAATTATTTAGTCATGTTTAAATTACTAAATCAGAAACTCATAGACATATAAATTTTTACAATTAAACCTAGTTTATCAAATAATTCACATAAAACATTAAATCATATAATCAATTAGCACATAAAAATGAAATTAGATGACTAATTAATCAAATGCATCTCTGGGTCGTTATAGCTATGGCGGAGGATGACGAAAGGGCTGCTACAACGGAGAAGCTATTACGGCGGAGAGAAATTTGAGGTTAGGGTTTGGGAAATCTAAAGAGGGAGAGATGAGAGAGAAATCTATAAAGAGAGAGAGAAAGAGAGCAGGTTTTATGATCAGAGAGAATGGAGAGAGAGAGAGAGAGAGAGGTGGTTGTTAAAGTTTGATTTGGGAAATGATATATATATATAGGTGGGCAATTTAGTCATTTTTACAGGAGCTTGATCTTATGGACAGAATATTTTAGTGCTTGGACCTTTGAACTAAGAAAATCCAAAATTGGATTTTTCGCTCGTACGCCCAAAATAAAATAGGTGAAAAATTAATAAGGTAAAATATCACATTCAAATCATAATTATTAACATATGCATCGCGTTATGCATGAAATAAAATAAAAAATTATTTTTTAATTAAAATATATATTATTTACATTAATTTTTTTTTGTAGCTCATAAATAAAAAAATATAAATATAAATTTGTAGGTTATACATTAAAAAGTTTTCTCTCTCCACTCAAACAAATCTAGTCATTAATCAATATTTAAAAAAAATGAAAAATATAATAATAATAAATTTAGTTTAATAATTTGCTCTCCCCCAACCCAAACATTGAATGATTTTTTCCCCTTAAACTGTACAAGTAATATGTGTAATTTATTGAAATAAATGAAAAAATGTGAACAATTTTATGTACTGTGTTCATTTTATTTAAATTTAAAAATCTTATTTAGAAGAGCACGATTAAATGAAAATTTAAGATTATTAAATTGATAGAATTTAGGACAAAAAGCATTTAACCCCCTGTGCACTACAACAAAAAGCATTTTTAGTGACGTTTTTTGGCAACTAAGTAGAAATTAGTCGCCAATGTTACATAATCAACGACTAATATACTTTTTGGTCTCCAAAAACTAAATTATTGGCGACGAGTTGAGATTTTTAGTCGTTGTTGAGCTTGGCGCAAACTTAAATTTGTGCACAAGAGCGCTAAAAAAAGTTTTTGCAACCAAATTAATATATGGGGACAAAACTTTTGGTTGCCAATTGTACATTTTAGGCAACACAAATAAAATAGTCACGAAAATGTGAATAGTATTTATGGCGACCTAATTATTTTAGTCGCCAATAAATTATCTATCAACACTATATCGTTTTGAATTTGCCTTTTTTTTTTTAAATTGGTTGACCTAACCTTTTGGGTGAATAAACAAATAATTGACCTAAAAGGTTCATCTCATTCTCTCATTCCACAACCTCAAACCACACAACACAAAAGTATGTCTTCTCTTCTTCTTTTCTCTTTCCCTCCTCTATAGCGATTCTAGTTTAAACCCGACCCGTTCATTGTTTTAGATCTGGGATTTCTCGTCTTGATGGTTATTCATGTCTTCTTTCATCTCATTCCTTGTTAAGTTTAGTTATTGAAATGTCTTGGTTATGTTTGAAACAGGTTGGGAGTTAGTTTTTAAAAACTGTTGTTGTCCAAATTTTGGCTTGTTCGCTCGAGCGAACTTTGAGAACTTCCAGTACTTTTGCAGGTCTACAAAACTACTGGGAGTATGGCATTCTTCGCTCGAGCGGTGTTTCTTGCGCTGAAGCGGTCTTGGCTCGAGCGGTCCTTCTTGCACTTGAGTGGTGTTTTGGAACTTTTAGTACTTTTACAGGCCTACAAAAGTACTTGGAGGGTGGTGTTCTTTGCTCGAGCAATACTTTGTTCGCTCGAGCAGTCTCTCTTTTTGTATTTGGTCGCTCGAGCGGTGTTTTAGTCACTTGAGCTGTCTGCGCGTATATCAGTCCGTAAAAGTCACTTTTTGAGTCACTTTTTCATATCTCTCTCTCTCTCTAAACATTTCAAAACCCTAAATCTATACACACTCTCTATAAAACTCATCTTCAACCTCCAAATACTCTCAATTTATCGACTTTTGTACCCTAGTCCCTTTGTTAAAAAGATAGAGCTCTCCTAGAGCTTCATTCTAATCGGAGCAAAGTTAATTTTCGGCTTCGTCGAGGTTTCTCTTCTCTCTCTCTCTCTCTTCTTCTAGCCTTGAGGTAGGGATTTTGCCGCACTTTAGTATGGTTTTTAACTTGGTCATTTTTCTTTTTAAAGAAATCTTGATATTTGGAATTTTTAGAACAAAGCTAGGATTTTGGTTTGAAATCAAAAGTGAGGTTTTCAAAATAGGTTCTCGAATATGAATATGGGTTTGTAAATGTGGTTAAGTTGTGATAAAATGGTGGATTTTACCCTTGGAATTGATTTATAAAGAAAATGAGATTTTGCCCTAAATTGTGAATATTTGATTTGTAAAGAGAAAATGGAATTGATGTTGGTTTTATGAAATTAGGACGATGAGGATGATGATGGTGGAGTTGGATATGAATTATTACTCCTATCTTGAAATTTTGGAAAGTATACCCTTATTGGAAATTATCTATCTGTTTTGGGTTATAGGTGGAGGATAGTTATGATTGTTGTAGAAAATGCATGAGAATTAAGTGAATTGAAATTAATTTCTTATCTATTTGCATTGAGCATTGTTACATATTTAACAAATTGAAAATGTATACTATTTTGAGAAAAATAGGTGAATGCCTTGGTGAATCTGGGTAGTAGTGTAGTTGTGGTATTATGTTGGCCTGTGTATCC